CAGAGCCTCGAAATGTTCCTCTGTTAAAATTCTTTTGGGTCTGGGTTTGTAGCTGAAGTACTTGTAACATGAATTGACTAGCGTCGATCTCAGTTATTCTACACTCAGTTCAGAGGAAGGTACTAGCACGGATAGCTGGTCACATAGATTCTCAAATTGGACTTCAAGCTCGAGCTGACAGTTTCTACGACTAGGACAACAAAATTTTGGACCTAGTAACAACACCTCCAAAAGGGTGGTGTCCAGCATTAACGAAGAAAAATTGTGCACGTACCTTTCGGGATTTGTTGGAAACTTGGTGCATGGTGTCACTGGATTAAGCTGGTTGACGAGTTTCTTTTCCCTGGCGTCCGTCCGTTTGGCAACAATAAGTCGAACATATGCGTTGAAGTCTAAGCGATCGGATATCGTCAGCGTTTCTAGTGCCCCTGCATATTGGGCTTGTTTACGTTCTAGTTCCCGAATATTCTCTTGTATCGTGTCACATTCGTTGCGTGCGTGGCGGCTTAGTGCAGTGGCAGTTGGATTGATTCGGTTTCTGCGTAGTATTCGTGAATAAAAAGTTGGAAACTGATTCTGTTGTACACACTGATTGAGGATTCGTAGCTTTGTCCTGGCTTCCGCAAGTTTCGCGCTGATACAACAACTTTCGTGCCTGCATTTGCTCATGTATTCTGGGTATAGGATGGGAATTATTCGGTTTTATACTACCGTCATGATCATTTAGTTTTGAATAAATTTCCACACTTAACAAATATTACAGTCTATCTATCACAAGCAAGTGCTATTATTCGAGATGTGCTGTTTCTAAGCAAGCAAACTTTGTGTGGAAAATGTTTTGTGGAACTAAACCACAAACTAACTGGAGTCGTTTATTGTAATATCACTGACTATATTGGATCTAATTGAGAAAATAATGGTCCATGTTTTTTTGTTTGCTAAGCTGGCCGATTGATCTTTTCCCTCAACATAATGTACTAGAGAGTAGTTTTGCAAATGCACTTTTGTCGACAGTTGTGATTAAGAAAAAGTAACTTACCGTCTGCAACCTTTCGTGTTACCGTTCACCTGGCTGCATTAAGCTAGCCTCATTTAGACAACAGCGGCACAAACGTTTTCCACGGTGAACACCATAGGTTATCAATCGTAGCATGCCTTGTTTACCCCCGTCATTTCGCACTACTGATATTTTCGTCGCGTACTCCACCAGCGTGGATCGTGATGCATTGGTAAGTAACTTACCGTCTGCAACCTTTCGTGTTACCGTTCACCTGGCTGCATTAAGCTAGCCTCATTTAGACAACAGCGGCACAAACGTTTTCCACGGTGAACACCATAGGTTATCAATCGTAGCATGCCTTGTTTACCCCCGTCATTTCGCACTACTGATATTTTCGTCGCGTACTCCACCAGCGTGGATCGTGCATGCATTGGTGATACAGTCCATCGGTTGTTAGCTGAGGCCCGCAGAGTTTTCTTTTAGAGTCTCATGGACAAAAGTTCCCGAAATTAAACCATGGTTACCTAGTCTTTCGGTTTTTCCACATCAAAATCTCCGAAGATGCACTTTTCACGATTTCGCGGGCCGACGCTTGTACCAGAACTTGCTGCCCATTACAGTATGCAGCAGTACGCAAGATAATCATAAAATGTTGCCTCCATGAGCACCTGTTAGATGATTCCGTATTGCTATTGTGTTTGTACCACGACTAGACCGCACGTTGGCACTCGTCAGCTCCAGGGCTGTGATGACTAATGCTGTTCACAAGTGCGTTCCAAAGGAATGCGATGTCATCTTGATAACTTATGGGACGGCCATCGCAGAATTTAAAATTTCCATGAGAAGAACGGTTAATAATGTGTACTGGTTCTTTTTCAAAACGATACTTGCTGGTAAATATGCGATTGCAAGCGTAGCGGAACGTAAACTTGCGAGTTTATTTCTCCCAATGTCTTCAAAATATCTTTCAGGTTGCCATCGGAATAAGATAAATTGTGCCCCAGCTTCAAAGAGTTTTTGCAGTTTTTTAGCCTCCACTTGTGCAACGCCAAATTCCAATCCAAATTCCAATCCCAAATTGTTGTCCATTTGTTTTCGTTCATCGTTGAAAGGTTAGGTTTTTATATACTTCAAAACATAGTTATCGAATGATATTCCTCCGTCTGAAATATGCGATCATGTTTAGTAGTGGTCTTAAACGGTGATTTATTTCTGGGTACGTTTTTTGCAATTTGTTTTCTTTGATCCTGCATCAGAATTTTATATAATGTCAGAAATAACAGGCGACTTTCTAAATTATAGTAAAAGCTTTATTGTGAACTTATTTGTATGCTCACGAGCGTCATACGTCGGATATAAGTCGGTGTCCATAATCAGTAGTTGGGAGACTAACGTTTTGGCCCGTAGAGCATAGTTCAGAAGTAAGGTTTCTCCAACAAGAGACCAACCTAGCAGAAAGATCATTTGAATAGGCCCCTTGTAAAAAGGCAACTACGCGGTTGTTTTCAACGATAGATATTTACACGATATCATAGGATTATAGGATCATGGAATGATAGGATCATGCTACTAACATTGTAGTATTAAAGCTTGATGTTTTTTCCTTCGAAAATCGCTTCCTAGGAATTACCACGACTGACTTTGGTTGATACTTAGTCCTTTCTTGGCGATAAAAAACGTTGCTCTTGGCACCCTTTTTGTAGCACACGTACTTTGTTGCCCAATTGGAGTCACGAGAGCTGAGGAACAATCTGGCTTCTCCAGCGCAAACAAGATTAGCCAAAAATTGGATGTTTTATTTGGGAAAGATAGAGCTTTTGGTCAGTAGTTCTGCGCCTCAGCCGCTAAGGTAGTTCGAGCTGCATCCACGAGGGACTAAATGAAATATCCTCATTTAGAATAGGATGAAAACATTCTATCATATATATATGTATATATATGTATATAGTGCTCTGACATAAAAGACTTAGAGTTAACAATGTTTTCTTCACGTGTTTGTTTAGTGAGCGATTTTTGTTGAAACTTTTGAAAGGCAGCTGAACGGATTCCAAATTCTGCTTCTTTTTGAAATAATATTTCCTGCAACGGATTGCTAGAAGGGATGAAACCACCATCGCCACTCGTAACCGGTAGTCATCTGTATTTTGTACAATACCTGAAGTACGAATGTGGATATCTTATGTCTGGTAGTACATGACATTTTCAAAATCGTTTTCAGATCGTTTTTTCGGAGGGATTGCGCACGAAACTTTACCTTTGGGGAACTCAAGTCATGCGCTTTCAAGATAATTTGCTCTCGGGGTTGACATAATTCTCCACAATATTGATCATGCTGTTTACGTAATAATTATAAATTGAAAGATTGCCAGAGTGATGAGCAGTCTGTTTGAATAACCACTGTGTTACACAAACTGTTCATTGTCTGTCTGACGAAATGTGTAGTTATCTGGTTACCTAACTTGATTGCATCTGCCACATTAGACCCATTGTTTTATTAGAATATACAGTACGGTGTATCCATGTCCTGAATGACTACCAAAATGTATAAATATAAGAAAACTCAGGATGGACACCGGTTTTCAAAGCCAAATTAGATGTGCTGACCTTGGTCGAACGCGTGGGCAGATGACTTTAACTCAATCACTCGCGAATAGCGGATATCCCCATCGTGCTCAATTCAGGTCAGCAATATGTCATCTGATATTCTATTGTTGAAGATTTACTGAAGTACTCGGGCTTGCTGTGATTAGAAATCATCATCCACTATGTCGTAAACAAACAAACAACCATATATCTTAATGTAGCAAAAGCTTAAACCGCAAATTTTGCCTCCTGATATTTTCACGACGGAGGGGTCGGTCCATGAGGACGGTAATCGAACAAGATCTCCCCTATAACATATTCACCAAACTCATGTTGATACCCTTTTATAGAAAGCTCACTTTTAAGACGAAATGCTCCATGTTCTTCTTGAATTTTGACAGGGAATTTTATTCTCAGCGTTTCATTTTGCAAACCGAGGACAATGCTTTTTGAGAGCTACTAGGAATAAACTTCTCTTTTAAGTTCCACACTTCACAAAATATGAGGAACCAAACCACATTTTTCAGACATGGATTCGGTCCATGAGGACGGTAATCGAACAAGAACTCACCTACAACATATCGACCAAACTCATGTTGATACCCTTTTATGGAAGGCTCACTTTCAAGACGGAATTCTCCATGTTATTCTTGAATTTTGACAAGGAATTTCATTCTCAGCGTTTCATTTTGCAAACCGGTACAATACCTTTTGAGAGCTACTAGGAATCAACTTCTCTGTTAAGTTCCATACTTCACAAAATATGAGGAGCCAAACCACATTTTTCAGACATGGACTAATGACGTCATGCCGGTTTCCGTTCATCTGGACTCCGATCCGCCAAAATTCGTGAACGTGAAATTCATCTCTTAAAATTTTACTCCTCTGAAGGACAATCCACCGCGCAAAACGTCAACTGTCTTTGAGACACAATTGTACATGGCTTAGGAATTTTTGGGGTGGACAAGATCCGCCAACACATTTTACAAAACTGAAGCAAAAGATATTAAAATAATCTCAGTCCCTTAAGACAGATAGCGTTTTTCTTGGTTTAATAATGCTAAATTACGGATACCCGGCATTAAATAACGCATCCAATTTGATTAGGGGCTTCATTCTGGAGACTATTGACTCTGAAGATTTTGTAGAGCTGTTCACAGTAACTCTCAGTGCATTTCAAAATTTTGAGAATACTTGCTAGCCCGTTTCAAACGTTATCTGACTTCCAGAAAAGTTCCCTGAAATTATTCACACATCGTTAACGAAGTTTGCTCTTTTAGTTAGCAGTGCTGCAATTTTTGTGTTCTGTCAGTAGATTGGTCTGTTGATAAAACTGGAAAGTGCACGATTTTTTTCAAAAAAATCAACAAAGAGTAGTGCCTTCTTCAGCCTCAAAAAGCCAGTTTTTTATTAGCCATGCTAACACTGTTGGAATCCTTCCCTTCTTTTCTCCACGCGGTGTCAATATGTTACTTCGAAGGAATAGTATAGGTTGTATTTTAGGTGGATAATTTCACACAGACTCGGCTCCTTTTCATGTTTCAAACGTTATCTGACTTCCAGAAAAGTTCCCTGAAATTATTCACACATCGTTAACGAAGTTTGCTCTTTTAGTTAGCAGTGCTGCAATTTTTGTGTTCTGTCAGTAGATTGGTCTGTTGATAAAACTGGAAAGTGCACGATTTTTTTCAAAAAAATCAACAAAGAGTAGTACCTTCTTCAGCCTCAAAAAGCCAGTTTTTTATTAGCCATGCTAACACTGTAACCAGGTTTTTGTTGGAATCCTTCCCTTCTTTTATCCACGCGGTGTCAATATGTTACTTCGAAGGAATAGTATAGGTTGTTTCTTAGGTGGATAATTTCACACAGACTCGGCTTCTTTTCATGGACTTGCACGATAGTAGACTTTATCGAAATGCTGTGAAACATCAACAGGGCCATTCTTGAGGCTACAAAACAGGTGAAGGCTTGAGATAAAAATATCTGCTTAATGCAGCTTTCATTTGGATTTGCGCAAGATACGGAGGTATCTACCATGATAGGATCATCCTAGCACGTCACCAATGTACTCACCAACCCTGACAACTGAAGCTTACTCGACATTACTCCACCTAATACATCAACTTCAGTATCGATGTGATTAACCAAATGCCACCAGGGCATCATTTTTCACTTTGACACTGTGTTAATGGGCCACCACCAGGGATATTTTCATAATCATCTAAGTAGGTAGACACGGCGTTAAACTAAAGCAGACAGAGAGAAGGGACGCCCTCACCTTGGCGGTAAGTCCCTGTAGTCGCCGCCATACGGTCGGCCAAAGGCTCGCAACAGGCATTCTTTGTTTTTTTCCGCAGATTTTGCTTTATCGTGCCAGCATCAGTACTAAGGGCTCGCACGCGACGCCTAATTCAGATCCGCACAAACCGCCAGTATTACGTCAACTTCAAAGTGCCCTTCGGTGGTTGTTGACCGAGAAACTCGATTTAGATGGCCGGTTGTGTTCTGCACAATCTCATGGTTGAAGAACGATTGACGGA